TTTGTTTGGATTAAGAGCAGTGTAGGTTTTAACTTCTTAGCTATGTTAGGATAGTCAAATCTGATTATTATATCATCCAATGCTCCGATGGAACCCAAGTTGGAGCCTAAGTAAAATTCTGAGTTTTTTTCTTTAAGCGCTCGCAACAATGTAAGGCATATTAGTTTGGTTTCATACAATTGCCCTCCAATGGCAGCAGAATCGCTATTCTTTTCGTACTGGTATTCGTCACCAGAGCTGTCACTTGATGACTCATATTTCGTCAAATTGTTGAAAATAGTTTCATCCCCCGTGGACCTTCCCTCTGTTATCTCTTTATTGTTGTTTTCCATGTTTTAATTTCACGTACCTAAACTGGTAACTCAGGGTCTATGCCAGCTTAATCGAGCGAGTAGGTGAGCTCACGGGGCACAAATCGGACGAATTTGCTTGCCTAGCAAGAGAAGATCCGGCGAGAAATTCAGTGGACTGTATCCGAGGGTTTATTTAACACAAGTATCACTCACAAAATGAAAACTTTAAGTGCATTTAATCTATAATTGAAACGCTGTGACGTTTGTGATTTCATTTTATTGTAACAAATGCTCATTTTATCAATTTTACGATTACACTATCAATTTATCACATGTAAACATTACCGTACTTTTTTTAAATGGATTTTATGTCCTGGTAACTAAAACCTTTAGGTCATGTCTGATTTTAATGTATATTCTTATTTTTATGAAAAATGATAATGCGGAGTGAAATGAAATGAGATGAGATATATAATCATAACAATATGATAAATAAAATAAATATAATAAATATATGATGAAATATTATAATAATATATAATCTCAGTAAAATGGTGGTCATTTACTGAAATGTTTTCAGTGGACTTTTTGGAGGATCCCGAGAAGTTAGGTTCAGCGGCTTTATTTCATTTTCCTACATTTGTGCACTTTCACAGATATTAAATAGTTAATAAACCACCGTTATTACACATCTAAACCTGAAGAAACACTAAAAATAATGGAAAAAATAAAACTAATCACACAACTTCATTCCTCGCGTTCCCGCCAAAAAAAACTACTTTTAAAGAGCCGCCTTCCTTAAATAATAAACACACATAGATGACCTATAAGGGACCTTATATCTATGACGCTTGCGTTTTTTTCCCCCGATAATACCTAATCGTTGGTAACCAGTGCTGCCAGCAACTATGCCAGCTTTCCACCGGATTCAACCTTTAAATCCACCAGAAAACCACTGAAAAATATATATGTAGTACTACATTCAAACTCGCAAAATTTTACACTAAAATAAAATTTAATGAAAGGAAATAAGTTTAGAAATTATTAGTTTCCTTTATTATTACAAAAATAATAATTAGTAACGAATATACCATTTGTAGGTAAATCAACACAAAAATTGTTCAATAACGACTAATTCTAAATTAAGTCGTCTTCTTCAGACGAATCGTTTTTGTCTGCACTATGATCATCGGTTTCAGATTTATATGACTCTTTAGTACCAATTTGATTTGCAACGGCTATGGGATTTTTATAATCATTGCAGCATTTTCCTTCTAACCTCAAAGCGTACTCTCAATACAGCAGTTAAAGGATTTAACTTCATTCCTTTGCTTGTTTTTTATTTTTTATTGCTAGATGGGTGGACGAGCTCACAACCCACCTGGTGTGAAGTGGTTACTGGAGCCCATAGACGTCTACGACGTAAATGCGCCACCCACCTTGAGAAAAAAGTTCTAAGGTCTCAAGTATAGTTACGACGGCTGCCGAAACGCATTACTGCTTCACGGCAGAAATAGGCAGGGCGGTGGTACCTACCCACGCGGCTCACAATAGGGCCTAAGTACCACCAGTAATTACGCAAATTATAATTTTGTGGGTTTCATTTTTATTACACGATATTATTCCTTCACCGTGGAAGTCAATCGTGAACATTTGTTGAGTACGTCTTTCATTAGAAAAATTGGTACCCGCCTGCGGGATTCGAACACCGGTGCATCGCTACATACGAATACACCGGACGTCTTATCCTTTAGGCCACGACTTCTAAATTTCTAAATTTACTTCGGCCGTGAGCTTGTTCGTCCGTGCAATAAAAAAAGGGCTCTCACAAATGCATTTTTAATACTTCAGTAAAACCATTTTTATCTATTCAAAAATATTTATTAACTTTACATAGGTGTGCATTAATTATGTTAACAAATCCACCTCCTAATAATAATTTAGTAAAATCTAAAATACAAATTTACATAACAGCGACCGTTGATTTTGAAGATCATTTTAAAGTTCATCAAGTTTCACCTATAAATATTTTAAAACGTAAATACTTTTTATTGATATTAATTAAAACAATGAACATATAGGTATTATTATGTACAATACGAAAGACGTATGTACAAACTATTAGAATATTTCTTGTTTGAATAAAACTTTTAATTTTGACTAAGCGTTTCCTCAATCGAAATATTAAAAAAAAGAATAGTCTGTATTTTCAGTTTTCTCTTTGTGAATCGATTTCATTTAAATCCCTTTTACGAAAAATTTATGAGTAGTAAAAAGAATGTTAACCAAAAACTTTCTAATTTTCATTCAAATCGAATAATTGTTTTTTTTTGTATGAAGTTCAAACGCTTCTTACATGAGAGCTCAAGGGCCAGATCGAATAATTGTAACAGTGAAAAATGATACCAAAAAAAAACCAGCATATTTTTGCAGTGATTTTTGAACCACTTCCTAAACACCAGAGAAACTTAAGCTTAGAGAATACCCAGAAATGTTTGATGTATTTCTAATAAATAATAAAATAATTACAATTTTTTACAATACCTAGTATTCTAGAAATTTATCTGTAATGCAAACTGCATTTATTTACATTTTACGATTATGTAGTTTATTTTGACTCTTTATTTTTTATTTAATTATTCCTTATTACAAATACAAAAAAGATATAGGCAAAGGAATTCCGTTCTTTTTTTTTCCTACCTGTTTTAGGAGAGTAACCTCTTGGGATTATAATAGATTCACCGAACTAGTAAGTGAGCTCGCGGGGCTCAAGCTTGACGTTGTTGCTAACACGAACCCTAGCAGGAGGCGTGCTTCTGAGTTAATTTACTCGTCGAGCCTTTCGCCGCAAGCGACGTGTTCGGCGAGAACGATGACCGGTACTTGAGGTATCTAAAAGCACCGTCTGTAAGACAACTATGACTTTTTTCTCTCTTATAAAATCGGTAATTTCGTGGGCCGACTCCTGCTAATCCGGAATTATAGGCAAGCTCACGGGATCAGCCCAAAATACTTGCTAACATCTGTCTCAGCACGAGAAGTGCCTCGCTGAAACCATCAGTTACAACGGCTGCCCCACCCTTCAAACCGAAATGCATTACTGCTTCACGGCAGAAATAGGCAGGGTGGTGGTACCTACCCGCGCGTACTCACAAGAGGTCCTACCACCAGCCATTTGGTTTAAGCGCCAACTCCCTTAATACGCGACTTTTATTTTTTTAATGCGTTTTATTTGTTATTAGCATCAACAGTTCGATGTTTTTAATTGAACTATAATTAAGTTTACCCCACTGAAATAGCGGAAGAAGTTTTTTTGTTATGATAATTTTTCCAAATTTTAACTCTTAAAATGGCTCGACTGTAAAGTTGCAAAAATGTCATTTATATGGAATAGCCTATACATCCCTCGATATGGTAAATATAAACAAATCGATAATACTTGCCTCGAAGCAATATTTCAAGTTGTTATTATGAGGGAATCCTCTCTCTCCTTTTCCGCATAACTGTTTGGTAAGTATATTGCTAAGTAAATTTCTCTGCATGTGAATGCCATTATTTAACATAGAGCGCTCTCTGTCTAGCATGAAAACAAAACTACATAATCACTACATAGTATAAAACAAAGTCGCTTTCGGGACAGCCCTATATCTGTCTGTCCCTATGTATGCTTAAATCTTTAAAACTACGCAACGGATTTTGATGCGATTTTAATAGATAGAGTGATTGAAGAGGAAGGTTTATATGTATAATAACATTCATTAAATAGTGGAGAAATCAATAATAAATTACAGTTTCCGAAGCGAAGCGAAGGCGGGTCGCTAGTTATTATTAAATTTCTTACGTCGATTTTTCCAGTTGATTACTTTTTTATTAATATTAATACACATTTAACATACATAGCTTAGTATTATATAGTTACAATATATTATTTGTAAGAAATGTCTAAGTTCAAATTAATTAAAATTCTCAGGGAACACACGGAAGGATCGTTTTGTAGGTAGTTAAAGACGACAATAACGAAACAACTACAGTCAATGTTTATCAAATGAAATTTGTGAGGAAAATTCCATTGAATAAACATAATATAAATCAATTAATTTCATTAGGTATCTACTCATTATTTTCAAATTAATTAAATTAGACACTAGTTTATTTTAATTATAAAAAAAATCTAGGCGGTAGGTAACGAAAGTTTTATAAATATTTAAAAAAAAATTACATCGATGCTAAATACAATAGTTTCCATTATTGAAATTCAATGGGCACGGTCTTAATTACTGAGAAAGGAGTTGTAAGCTAATAAGGATTAAACGTAGGATGGAGTATAGTGCCTTCTAACATTTACAATGTTACGATATTAGACTTCTCACAACTTGAAACCAAAAGGTCCTTAACAGACTAGAACTAAAAGATCATTGTTACTCGAACGGAGCGAAACTATTAAGGGCTTTCACTTTGTTTTTTAAACCTTATATCATTTCTAGCATTCCCAAGTCACTTGGTTTTTAAGATCACCCATCTTTTAAATTCCGACGCCAGCTGACTGTTTTGACAGACCGACCGGCTCTGGGTTAGCAGGGACGGAAGGTGTCCAAGGGCATCAAGACACTCTCCGTGCTGCTGTCTTTGCCGTTCTCCTTCTCGCAGCATTTCGGGAAGGGTGCGTTGATATCTGTTTTGTTCGTGAAGTGAAACTTGTCCTGCAAGGGGAGGTCCCGCGCCGGGCGGCGGGCGCGCCCTCAGAGCTTCGAGGAGCCGTTGTTCAGCAGACGAATGCTGCTGTCACGACCCATGCTAGTGCTGGAAGGAAACGGTTTTTTTTTAAAAATCTATATACATATTAATACGTGAAGCAAAAACTTTGTATCCCTTTTTACGAAAATTGCGCGAACGGAGGAGTATGAAATTTCTCACACTTATAGAGAATATAGAGAAGGAGTGCACAATGCTAATATTTTTTAAAATAATGCATAAAAGATACTTTAAACCAATAAAGAAAACATTACACACACTACCATGTATTTGACATAACACATACATAAAAATATACTCTTTGTTTACTGTCAATTGGGAAACTTTTGTTATTGTTTAAAATCTGTGGTCGAATTGAAAATAGATTCATATTGTTTGTCTTTAATATTATTGATCTATAGTGCAGTTTTGGTGAATAATGTGATTATATTATCGAAATATAATAGTGTTTGACAATAGAACCATAATAATGTTTAAGCTTGTAATTTCAATTAATTATAGTCGAATCTCGACTACTGCGGGGCCACTAGTTAAAATTGTTGTGTATATATGAGTCGTCTATTATCAAAGGTGGCAATCTGTGCATTTGGACAAAAAAATTTTATTGATATGTCAATACAGATATAATTGAATATAATCGTCTCCTTCAAAGAATACGGTTCAAAACCTGCATTAAATAAAGGTTAATAGTTAACCTGTTATTTATCTAAGATGTCGTTCCGAAGAGTTTTGTGACTGCCAATGGAATACAAAGTCAATAATTCGTTTTTCTGATTTACCAATCATTGTCCAAAAGTCAGATTGCCGCCTTTGATAATAGTCGACTCNGTCTCCTTCAAAGAATACGGTTCAAAACCTGCATTAAATAAAGGTTAATAGTTAACCTGTTATTTATCTAAGATGTCGTTCCGAAGAGTTTTGTGACTGCCAATGGAATACAAAGTCAATAATTCGTTTTTCTGATTTACCAATCATTGTCCAAAAGTCAGATTGCCGCCTTTGATAATAGTCGACTCATATATTGTGGGTCGCGATTCCGATCCGGTAGTAGATTTAGCGGTACACTGCTCTTGCTAGGGCTAGTGTTAGCAATTCTCTCAGGTTGAACCCGTGAGCGCACCTACCGGTTCGCGCGAAGTTAGAATATCCCCTTAGGCTACCACCGATTAGGTAGGGGAAAAACTGACAAAACCACTGAAAAATACAGTTATTTATAATAAAATTTTTACTGGTGGTAGGACCTCTTGTGAGTCCGCACGGGTAGGTACCACCGCCCCGCATATTTCTGCCGTGAAGCAGTAATGCGTTTCGGTTTGAAGGGTGGGGCAGCCGTTGTGACTATACTGAGATCTTAGAACTATATCTCAAGGTGTGTGGCGCATTTACGTTGTAGATGTCTATGGGCTCCAGTAACCACTTAGCACCAGGTGGGCTGTGAGCTCGTCCACACATCTAAGCAATAAAAAAAAAAAAATTAGCAAATTCCAAAACCGATGAAGAAAAGGAAATCATTCTAATTCAAATATATTAAGCAACAAAAGTCACAAATGAGCTTCGAAAAAAATTACCTGCAATAATTTCGAGATAGAATGTTAAACCCTTGCTTTCATCTTCGAAATACTGGTCTTCTTCTTTTACTGATGGTAGGACCTCTTGTGAGTCCGCGCGGGTAGGTACCACCGCCCTGCCTGTTTCTGCCGTGAAGCAGTAATACGTTTCGGTTTGAAGGGTGGGGCAGCCGTTGTAACTATACTCGAGACCTTAGAACTTATATCTCAAGGTGGGTGGCGCATTTACGTTGTGGATGTCTATGGGCTCCAGTAACCACTTAACACCAGGTGGGCTGTGAGCTCGTCCATCCATCTAAGCAATAAAAAAAAAATCTTCGAAATAAGATTTTATGTAAGCTTACGTTCTGGGCACCATGCTGACGTTGGTCTTCCGACTCGAATGCAATCGTCTCGAAGTGGAGAGTGACATGGATCCTCTAGCACCGCGGGTGGAGCTGCCTCGACAAAGGAGATATCTGTGAAGATGTAAATTATTTTGTTACTTTGTTACTTGAAATTGAAAGAGACGATTTTTTCATGATTTCGGATTTCATCATTTCTATAATTATTAATTTTTTTTTTATTGCTTAAATGGGTGGACGAGCTCTCAGCCCACCTGGTGTTAAGTGGTTACTGGAGCCCATAGACATCTACAACGTGAATGCGCCACCCACCTTGAGATATAAGTCGTAAGGTCTCAAGTATAGTTACAACGGCCGCCCCACCCTTCAAACCGAAACGCGTTACTGCTTCACGGCAGAAATAGGCGAGGTGGTGGTTGGTACTGACCGATTAAGTTGTAAGGAGACAGAGAATTATGAATGTTGTGTAATATTAAGGGCCCAATACGTTGGTCCGACCAGATCCGCTCGGCTCTTGATTCCACACTTCACAACGCCCTCCACAACGATAGAGACAAGAATAGATGAAGAAAGATCGCGCGTGCGAAGGCAATGCAAAAGGGTGGTCACGACCCTCAGCAGTGAGGAATACGACGCAAGGAGGTAATATTAACATCACCTGTTAAAGTGCTTCCTGAAGATTCCGCTGGTGCAGTACAAAGCTATTGGATTGACGCAGCTGTTGAGGAACGAAAGACAGAAGCCGACGATCCGGAGCCCGTGCCACCATCCGTTATAATCATTTTCGGCCGTTGGACTGGAAGTAAAAGCTAAATCTCACAATCCTGATGGTCATAAACATCAGCGATGCTAATTCCGCCATCGAACTTGAGACATGAGTTTTAAGTCTTAGTTTTACATGGACCAAAAGAGTTACTTTGTGGAGCGGTCCAGTGGTCCAGGATGACATAACAAGGACAGCGGGCCCAAACTAGATACAAGTGGCCCAAAATAGGGAACGTGGGTTTTCGTTGGAGGAGGCCTTCACTCGAAGAGAGGTTCTAGCAAATAATTAATATAAAAAAAAACACGTATGACACTCGGGGACTGTCGCGGTAAAGCATAGCATTTTTTATTAACTTATGCAATTATAATTAGACAACAATAAATTAACATTAAAACAATAATAAAATAAGACCACGCTATATTTATAAACATTAAGAAATGCAAAACATTAACTGTCCCCTTCACACTCATAAGCTAGACCGCGCGAGAGAGCGAGAGAGAGAGATAAGCAGACTTTTCATGATGCGCATGCAGTGCGACGTCACGCCGCGCGCTTATTCACAAACGCTTAAAAATAAATTGGATGTATTATAAGAATTGTAAATTATTGGTTGCAAGAAATAAAAAGGCTTTTTATATCATAAGATATACAATACAACTAGTACTCTTACTACTCTGCGCTAACGCTATGACCCCTGAGTGAGTCTTGGCCTCCATTCGATGTTGGCCTCCGACAATAAGCGCTGTCATTCACCCCGGCGCTGCGCAACATCTTATCAGACCGGCATTCGGAGCTCTCGTAAAATTCCTTCCACAGCATCAGACCATGAGTAGCAATTAATAAATTTACGTATTTCACTTTTATTACACGAAGTCGATCATGAATTCTGGTCAGGTTTGGTTCGTTGCGGTATTACATTGCTGAGAAAAAATGGCGTCTACCAGGATTTGAGCAGCGTTATAGTCGTGTTAGTTGATATGGATATACCGGATATTTTACTCATATGGCCACTGTTGCTACAAATTGCATGTGCGGCTTTATAGTCAGTCTCCACATAATAGCCCATTATGGAAATAATATGAAATACATATAGCTGTAGGAACGGGCATCCAAAGAGATAAGACCATAAAACTAACTCTTCAAATCGTTTCCAGATAGGAAATGTTTAAGATTTACAAAAATAACGAAAGTCAACTCACCAAAAATAAAACCACATCATGAAGACGTGTGAGGGTAGGAAACAGGCAGCAAAGACCAGAACGAAAGCCAGCACAGTTACTGCGACTTTCCTGCGCGCCCGCATCTTTAAATAGAAGGATCAAATCTACATAAGTTGCGTTTTATTTATCCTATAATTTTTTTAATATGATTAAGATTATGAATACAAAATACAGGTACTTGTTTGTCGGCAGATGCTCCCCTATCGGGAGTCGGGTTCGACATATTGGGAGTTGCGTTCAGCATATCGACAGTCACAAGTGCGCAAAATAGCACTGAATGAATTCGGACACTCCCACTTGGAAACCGCTCAGAACCAACCCTCTTTATCTGGCCAAAGGCGTAGTTGTTTCCTAGTAATTTGTGAAAGTGGGGGTGCATTGACTCATCTGTATGCTTAGTGCGAGTTTTTTAACGTTCTCGATAGCGTAAAAGTTAGCCCAATTTATGCAGTTGGAACAGCGCCCTTAGCGGCAAACGTAGCCAAACGATCCCATTCCATACAAATATGAGCTAACTTTTACGCTATCGAGAACGTTAAAAAACTCGCACTAAGCACACTGATCGATATCTAGTACGTGTTGTTACCAATTTCGAGAGACGCCATCATATTAGTAAGATATTGGTTTGGCTGTAAACTACCTTTTACTTTTACATCGAAGCGTAGCTAGTGCCAAGTAATACCTCTTTATTTAACTAATACCAATTGATAATATATTGGTTACCTGTCGCTGAGTTCCTTGCATTTCACCAGGCATATTCTGAGTACTGAGCACTAAATGCCAGGCCATGAGTACATAGAATAACGCAATCACAGCTAGTGGCAACGAGTAGTAGAGAAGAAAACGCACCATGACCACGATTTGGGCATAGTGTTCTCCCCACTCTTGGGGGTAAGGGTAGCAGACGAGAAACTGTGAACAGATTTATTAAATGAGTCTTTTATTAGCGTATAACAACCTATTACCATGGACGAGTCTGGTTCTCTGAGTATAAAAAGCCTTTCTATCAAGGCAAGATATTCGCAAATTTATAAGAACATCCTTTACTTTCCACATTAAAAAAAAAAAATATTTTTAAACTAAAATTATAGTCTCACGTAGGAAGGTGGATTTGAAGCCATTATTAATACAATCACTACCCATGTTACGAACAGTAACAATAATTGTTGATAGAATATCACTATGATAAAGCTATGACGAATTTAGGATTTGTGACGGAAAAAAAATAGAGAGTATGATGTGGTTAGGGTCTTTAAGGATCCCGAGGGACCTGGGCGGGCCCCCCGGCGCGCATTCTGCGTGGCCGGGGGCTCCGTCTGTGGGGGAGTTTTGCTGGACTTCCACCGGGCGCGTCCGTAGGTGGCGGATAACGGGATCCTCTGGGAACAGTCCCACTCCCAGGGGTATCGTCCGATCTTTTTCGTTGCAAGGATTCTTAGGTGTTAGGGAGGTAGGTTAGGTGTAGGTGTAGGGTAGCCTAGTTAGGCTTTGCAACGAAAGAGATCGGATGACGCGGACCAAAACCAGCAGGGGGAGTTGCGGGCTCTCCACGCCCTTCACTCGCTGAAGGGTGTTCCTCCTGGAGACGCTCGGGCTCCCTCTCTTTTCCCCTTTCTTCCCCCTTTTTTGTTTTTCTTCGGGTCACGTCCGACCCGTTTCGGACGTAACCCACGGGTGGTGGTGGGCCACTTTTGGCCTGCCCTTCGATGGAGAAGTGAGCCGGCGTTGCTTACGCATCTTCCGGCCGCTGGTCGCCATGTCCCCGGCTTCGGCTACAGGGGCACGCCCTCCAGAGGGGGGTACCGGTATACCGGCGTGGCTTCGTGGTTGTTGCTCTTTTGAGCGTCGGGCGGTGGTCTGTCGTGTTGCTCGTTGCACTCGGCGGGCCGCCGGCCAACCCGTAATCCTCACCGCGTGGGGGACGGGGGCCGCTGCCGCGAGGCACGGGGCCGCGAGGACGTAAACCTCTTTAAAAAATGCCCCAATCCTAAGCTCTGGTGCCCGGCGATGGGATGAATGGCTGGAGGGAGTCCAGTCCCAAGGGTACCAACCAGACCCCAGGGGACCGACCACTGGTTAATAAAAAAGGAAAAATGAAACAATGACATCTGTGAGAAAAGTAATACCCCAGGAGGGTACCACATTGGGGTAGAGCGGGGGGAGAATCCCTCCGTGCGGTCGAGCGATCGGCCGCACGCTGCCCCACCGTTTCTGGGGGGGGCACACACTGTCACGCAGAAGGGGGCGACAGCACGGGTCGCGTAAGGGACAGGGTCCCCACCGTGCGCCTCGAGCGCTGCGAGAGCCTTATCTCGCTCTACTCGGCGCGGAGCTCCGCGAGGGGCGACGCGTNCGCACGCTGCCCCACCGTTTCTGGGGGGGGCACACACTGTCACGCAGAAGGGGGCGACAGCACGGGTCGCGTAAGGGACAGGGTCCCCACCGTGCGCCTCGAGCGCTGCGAGAGCCTTATCTCGCTCTACTCGGCGCGGAGCTCCGCGAGGGGCGACGCGTCCAGTGGGCGGGAGACACCGGCGCTGTTCACCGACACGCGACAGCGGATTCGGCGGAAGCGGAAGTCGGCCCGACAGCCGGCATCCTCTGCTCCGTCTGACTCGTCCGAGGGTGAGCCTGCCAGCGCCAAATATATGGCGTTGGCGGAAGGGCCGGCGACTGCTGCGGTGTCGCCCGCCACCGGCTTCGAAAAAAGTTCCTCTTGCGGACTGGACGCTGCCTCCTCGGCGCAGTCCAGGGCCGCCTGCCGTGAGGCCCGGGAAAAATTTGAGATTGGAGTGGTTCAGCGCCTAGAGCGCTCCCTAACGGAGGTGGGTCCCTCTGACCCCCTCCGAGCTTTCGAGGTGGTCGGAAAATTAGTTTCCGCAGTCGTGGCNCCCCCTACCTCATCCGGGTTCTGACCTCGGAGGGGATCGGACGTCGGGTGTAAGAGTGCAGGGGAGTCGTTTAGTGGGTGGGCTCTAAAATCCTTGGGCCCGCGGTCTGCTCACAACACCATGCAGATCGTTGAGTCTCACATACCCCGCGCGCCCCATTTGCGCGGGGACCTCGTAGGAGGTTCGGCCCTCTACCCGAAATAAAAAAAAAAGGGTCTTTAAGGATTACAAGGAAATTAATAAATAACTTAAACTGAAATATGCTATCAGATAATACGGTATACCATCGACAACAAATGAAAGTAATGATTCTTGAGAGCAATAGGAATAGTAAGTCGTCGTGGCATAAAGGATAAGACGTCCGGTGCGTTCGTATGTAGCGATGCACCGGTGTTCGAATCCCGCAGGCGGGTACCAATTTTTCTAATGAAATACGTACTCAACAAATGCTCACGATTGACTTCCACGGTGAAGGAATAACATCGTGTTATTAAAACCAAACCCGCAAAATTATAATTTGCGTAATCACTGGTGGTAGGACCTCTTGGGAGTCCGCACGGGTAAGTACCACCACCCCGCTTACTTCCGCCGTGAAACAGTAATGCGTTTCGGTTCGAAGGGTGGGGTAGCCGTTGTAACTATATTGAGACCTTAGAACTTATATCTCGAGGTGGGTGGCGCATTTACGTTGTAGATGTCTATGGGCTCCAGTAACCACTTAACACCAGGTGGGCTGTGAGCTCGTCCATCCATCTAAGCAATAAAAAAAAAGTAGGAATTCAAACTAATTATATTCTCCTTCATGCCAAATTAAATTTGACTAGAAGACAAGCAACAAACTTGCTCGACCCTGTTTAACTTTCTAATTAGGAAGATTCGAACGAAATTTTCGCTGGAAAACCGACCCGAAAGAGATAGTCTGAACTATGTCTGTCTGAACTTAATTATAGCAGATCACGACACAGATTTAACTTTGTTGCGGTTTACTAAGCTACTAGTTTTTAGTAACTAACTTGTATAACTAGTTAGGTCATAAGTATTGTCACACAGTAAAAACTTTTCTTTGAGAATGCTGGCCACAAAATAGTTTATTGAATTCGAATTTCGAATTGTTCATGAAAATAAAAATGTTATACTTTTAGAATTTTACTCATTTTTTAATATGGAGTGGACGCTTAAAGAAGACCGTGTTGCAGTTATTGCGTAGCATCGTTGCGGTTACGCGCCAATTCAAATTTTTAACATACTGAAAATTTTTAATATAACCAAAAGATTCGTTTATCGTACCATCAAACGATACAATGAAGATTCTAGTGTAGATGACAGGTCAAGAAGTGGTCGCCCTCGGTCTGTTAGGACTCCAGCAGTGATAAAAGCTGTGAAGGCGCGAATTCAAAGAAATCCCAAACGTAAGCAGAAACTGTTGGCCCTTCAGATGGGGTTAAGCAGAACCACGGTGAAAAGGGTGTTAAATGAAGACTTAGGGCTTCGGGCATATCGAAGAAAAACAGGACATCGTTTGAATGCTCGTCTAATGGACCTGAGACTGAAGAGATGCCGCGCTTTGTTGAAGCGGTACGCGGGAAAAAAATATCGGGAAATTCTTTTTTCGGATGAAAAAATTTTTACCGTAGAAGAGAGCTACAACAAACAAAATGATAAGGTGTACGCACACAGTAGTGAAGAAGCGAGCAACCGTATTCCGCGTGTCCAACGAGGTCATTTTCCATCCTCGCTCATGGTATGGTTGGGAGTTTCTTATTGGGGCTTAACAGAGGTACATTTTTGTGAGAAAGGTGTAAAAACGAATGCAGTTGTGTATCAAAATACAGTCCTGACGAACCTTGTGGAACCTGTTTCTCATACCATGTTCAATAACAGGCACTGGGTATTCCAACAAGATTCGGCGCCAGCTCATAGAGCGAAGAGCACACAAGACTGGCTGGCGGCGCGTGAAATCGACTTCATCCGGCACGAAGACTGGCCCTCCTCCAGTCCAGATTTGAATCCGTTAGATTACAAGATATGGCAACACTTGGAGGAAAAGGCGTGCTCAAAGCCTCATCCCAATTTGGAGTCACTCAAGACATCCTTGATTAAGGCAGCCGCCGATATTGACATGGACCTCGTTCGTGCTGCGATAGACGACTGGCCGCGCAGATTGAAGGCCTGTATTCAAAATCACGGAGGTCATTTTGAATAAACTTTAGTGTCATAAGAATCTATGTTTTGTTAAGTTCATTTTGGTATATGAATGGTTACATAATGAATAAACTTGTTTCAATTATTTTACATTAAACATGTGACAGAATTTATGACCTGACTAGGTATATGGTCTTAATATGTCACGGAAAAACGCTTAGATATTTTTTTCTATGCTATCACCTAATTCAAACATTATTTCTAATGTTCTCGTTTTGTAACATAATCTTTTCTAGTTTCGTTTTTTCATAAACTTTTTTTTATTTTATTTTTTGTTTAGACGGTTGAACCCACCATCCTCTCTATTTCTGCTGTAAAGCAGTAATGCGTTTCGGTTTGAAGGCTGGGGCAGCCGTTGTAACTATACTGAGACCTTAGAACTCATATTTCGAGGTGGGTAGCGGCATTTACTTTGTAATGACTATGCGTTCCAGTAACCACTTAGCACCAGGTGGGCTGTGAGCTCGTCTACCCAACTATACAATAAAAAATAAATAAATAAAATCACCTTTTAGCATGTCGTATGAAAGTATGTTCATAAAACCTTGATCAAACTTTGAAATGTGAACACGTTTTTAATTTTTCGGACGAACTAAGGTGGTGTAAATAGTAAAATTCACATATATTTTAGTATACAATCTGTTATATTGATAGTATGCGCAACATTTGAAGTCGTCGTGGCCTAAAGGATAAGACGTCCGGTGCATTCGTATCGAGCGATGCACCAGTGTTCGAATCCCGCGGGCGGGTACCAATTTTTCTAATGAAATACGTACTCAACAAATGTTCACGATTGATTTCCACGGTGAAGGAATAACATCGTGCAATAAAAATCAAACCCGCAAAATCATAATTTGCGTAATTACTGGTGGTAGGACCTCTTGTGAGTCCGCGCGGATAGGTACCACCGCCCTGCCTATTTCTGCCGTGAAGCAGTAATGCGTTTCAGTTTGAAGGGTGGGGCAGCCGTTGTAACTATACTGAGACTTTAGAACTTGTATCTCAAGGTGGGTGGCGCGTCTACGTTGTAGATGTCTATGGGCTCCAGTAACCACTTAACACCAGGTGGGCTGTGAGCTCGTCCACACATCTATGCAATAAAAAATAAAAAAACCCTGTCAAATGCACGCGAAATGTCTTTTAAGAAGGAGAGGAAGGATTAATGGTAATGGTATAAAGCAGAGAAAGGATATTATTTTAAATTATAATTATCAAAGAAATGTAGACCTGTGTAGTTGGATTGACAACGAATGGTCGTAAGTAGGAGCCGATGAAGGCGGGCGTTGCCAGCAGACCTGCCAATATCCATATCCCGATTGCTGTGGCTATTGTTAAGCGTGTGGCTCTCTTGCTGCTCCCTGAAAAATGATTTGTTGAATATAAAATCAAATCAAAATCTTTTTTTTTTTATCCAACATAAATGAAAGTACACACTTGTTGAACGTCAAAAAGAACTACCGCCAATTCACAAAAACTAGCCCCCGTCCTGAGAAGAACTGGCAAGAAACTCAGCGGGCATTAGATAGGTAATTTTTTTAAATATTCATTTTTACAATGAGTATTATAACGTAACAATTATTGCAATATTGAAATGCCCGGAGCGAGCAACTCATTCCCGTTCATTAATAATTAAAACGATGTTGTATTTCTTGTAGTGTCGTAAGACATATGCCAGCTACCCTTGCAAAATGGTATATTTTCGGTACGTATATTTTTTCTTAACTTGAATAGTTAACGCTTTTTAGTAATTTTTTTATATTAGTACTAGCTGGCCCGGAAAACGTTGTTTTGCCATATAAATTATTTCTAGAAAAGATAAATAACCTAGATACCGAGTGCAGCGCCATCTGCCGGGCTGATTTGTAAATCTAAACCATTCTTGAATTCACCTGAAGGTTCACAGAAAATTTCATTAAAATCGGACCAGCCCTTTAGTGACAAACACACGCACAGAAGAAATATATATATATATAAAGAT